AGCCTTCCATCCTTCCGAGGTGGGTGAAATGAGGACCCAGACTGTGGGGCCGATATGCTGACTCTGTAAACCGCTTAGAGAGGGCTGAAAGCCCTTTGAAGCGGTATATAAGGCTAACTGCTATTGCTAACTGCTATTATTGTGCACAAGCTTTTTTTTTTAAAGAAGATTATAGAAATTTCAACAGTTGGATTGCTTTCACTTAGGACTCATTTCTCAATGTTTTTAGACTTACTAAGGGCTCCTGACATGGTAAAAGACAGTTCTCTTAACTGGTTAGTAAGAAATATTCACTAATTTGCAAATATTACAGGCTCTGAACATAGTATTATATCATGAGTATTGGTACTGCCTGATGGTGCCTGAATTCTGCTTAGAATATTCCAGGAACAAAACACTTTTGTGCATTCCTAACCTTACTTTTGCATATTCAGAATCTAGTCCATTCTATTCCTTACCTCTTTTTAATTACACTTTTTAAATATAATATATTTTCTTCCAATTAATATAAAATTTCTAGTGAGAAAGTGATATTTGAAAATTTTAATATTCAAATTTTGTATATGTGATTGGTGGATTTGTTCTAATTTTGTTCATTTTTCATTTTACTCCTTTTAATCTGACATTTAAATTCTAGATGTCACACTGAATTGACGTCTCAGCTACCAAACATCTTTAGGAAGCACTTGGCAATTGTAAACTTGCAATCTAACACTTTTACCCTAACAGCAGCTTTACTTGCTAAGATGTTCATCCATAAATTCAGAGGTTATTTACCTGTGTCTCTTAGCTGTATTTCCATTAATTTCTGATGAAATAATTACTTGTACTTTAAACAAGTAACCTTAGTTTCCACATGAGGCTTCTACACAATTTATAGTCGGGAACTATATAATTTGTTGATTTATTTAATTTTCTTTGAAATACAAGCTGTTTCTGAGTGGACTAATAAAATTATTAAACACTGCATTATTAAGTGTAGTATATTCTAATGAAGATGCCTTGTGTAACTTAATGCTGACTTCTAAAGGAGAGAATTGAAAAAATAAACCCTCCCATCCATGCTTTCTTAACATTACTGTGCCATTTGGTACACTTGATCTAAACTGGCAGTTTCAATTTTCTTTACTTTAGTTAGTTTAGTTTATTAGTTTTATTAAACTTGTATGCCGCCCTATTCCCCAAGGGGACTCAGGGCGGCTAACAAACTAAATAGGGAAAAGGGGAAGTACAAAAAACAAGAAAGACACGACAAATACAAAAAACAGATTAAAAATTCGTCAACAGCCGCAACAATTCGAGTGGGGCTGGGAACTCTTCAGCCTACCAGCACAGCCAGATCTTGATGGCTTTGCAGAAAGCCTGAAGGGTGGTGAGGGTCTGAAT